GATTTTTATGGGCAACCCAATCATTTTGCGAAAATTAAGTGTTAAAAGCTTTATCTAAAGGACAGACCTGTTGATTTCTACATATCTTTTAATATATATGAGAGATAGTTTCATGGATTTCTGTTTTTGATCAAATAAACTATTTTATTAAACTTACAATATTGTCATATTAACATTTTAACTTTTGTTGCTGCTTGCCCCAAGAAGTAAATTCCTAATGCCTTGCTATAGGTAAATATAGTTAAAATTCATATTATTCCATTTACTTATCATTGTGTTTTATTTACTGTAGAATTTTGTAGGAGAATTTCCTGTTATTTTAACACTATAATCAACTTTGCTATATTTTTCATCTACATTTTTGTCAGAGGAACTCACAGTTAAACACTATTAGTTATTTTATAACGGGTCTCAAACATGTGGCCCAGGGGAAGCATTTTTGTAACCAATATTTTCCTCAAATTTTAATAAGTTTAATTAATTTGTCCCTCACCCCTTCCATACTTTTGCAGTAGCAGTATTGAACTTTACCTACCCACCAATTGCAGACAGTCAATAAATTTTACAGTCAGCATGGTCTATTCTCATTCATCTTCAGGAAAGGGTAGAAAATTTTGCTTTGCCACTACCATGTATTCATGAAATGAGAGTATAAATGGACTTTGTGACAATGTCTTGTTCTCTTTTTTCTTTACCTTTCTTTTTTTTTAAATTATATAACAAGAAATATTTCTGACAACCTGTATTGAAGAAAGCAGAAATAAGTATCAAATTTTTATATACGTTATACAAGTTATATATAAAAGAGAGAGAGGGGTGTATTAAAAATACTTTTACAAACTTAGGATGTGGGTTCCTGACAACAAAACAAGGTAAAATGTCCATATAAACATATGTCCAAAAGGCCATCGTTTTACCTCAACAAAGCAACTCATAAGAAATGTTCAAAATGTCCTCGGCTTGCTTCTACACATACATGCACCCATCGGATCACTGACTGGCGGACCCTTTCAAATACATTTACATGGTGTCGAATGGTTTTGCAGACCCCCATGACACATTGATGAAGTGTCTCTGCATTATTAATGTCTGCTGCATAAACCAATTGTTTTAGGTAGCCTCACAGATAAAAATCAAAAGAGGTTGGGGGAACGTACAGGCCATGGAACTGGTCCTCCCCTACTTATCCATCTTTCATAGTAGATGTCAGCCAGTGCATTGCAAACAATGTGACTAAAATGTGCTGGAGCCCCATTATGCATGAACTACATGTGTCTTTGTATTAGCAGGGATACATCCTCTAGCAGGACTGAAAGTAGACAGCTCTTATAAGATGTGCTGGGAGAACATACGACCCTAACAGACAGTCACCTACAATTCCAGCCCAAACATTAATTATAAACCGATGCTGATGTCTAACCTGTATTGTACCATGGGGATTCCGATCTGTCCACAACTGTTGGTTGTGTAAATTTATTATTCCATCTCTTCCAAATGTTGCCTCATACATAAACAAGACTGAAGAGAGAAACAACAGATTGGCAATTTGTGCAATAAACCATCAGCAAAAATTCTCCCATGGTAAGTAATCAGAAGGCAAAAGACCCTGCACACATTGCAACGATAAACAGCAGCAAAGGTTGGATGACTCGGCTGCCTTCAGACTGGAAATGCAATCTGATACAGCCTCATATCCATTACCATTCGCATGGCTGTATGTAAAAATTATATCTGCCTGCTCATGATATGAATATCCAGCCATTATTAAATGCAACATTTCTCATTTAACTCACTACTACATACATTAAACATTGAAGACAGACTAGCCACAAATGTACACAAAGGACAAATGTAACCTAGTCTACATGGCAACACAGTGCCATCTATTGTAAACTTTCTTTAAACTTAATAGCTTAAAAGTGAGGGGATTTGCAGACATGTTTCTATGGACTTTTGTCCTTGTTTTGGTGTGAGGAACCCACACACTAAAGTTTGTAAAAGTATTTTTGATATATAAAATGGACTCTCCCGTCATATTCAACATATGAGGGTCAGAGCTGAATACAGAAAACTTGTGCACTATGTGCCACAAGGTCCCCAAACTACCTCCTGCAGGTTTTGAATTCAGAATTGTCCTTCTCCTCAAGGCTATAGAACCCAGTTTGTCCTGCTAATTAAACATAGCTGGAGGGAGAAGAGGAGCATTCATACATTTCCCAAGAGTATTACACATAAGTGAATGTAATGGATTTGACTGAATTCAAACTCGAATCTCAGTTCAAGCCACTACCTACTACTTCACCATGCCTGGCGATATATATATATATATATATATATATATATATATATATATATATAATATTGTTAAAGAAAAAGAAAATTGCAGTGGAGAACTGAACTTTTCAAAAACAGTGGGAATATTTATATTTTGTGTCAGGTAAATAGGGTTGCTGATTGTCCTGCATTTGAAAAATCATACATAAATTTTGCTTTTTTTTTTTTTTTCTTTTTTTTTAAAGTTATACTTAATAATCACAAAAAAATTGGAATATGTTTGATATCTTGCCAGCCTATATCCCCCTTTCTCTCTCTCATAAGTCCTATCACTCAAAATTATCAACTGATTTCATTCAGCTTTGAGGGCCATTGACCCCTGGTTGGGAATCAGTCTCTGAGTTTTGTCCATGGACCTCATGGTTCAGTTCTCAATGGAGCCCACTGTCTCCCTTAGCACATAATAGACTTTTTGTGGCTTCGAGTTTGAGACCCCTACATTTATACTGAGAAGATTTTTGAAGAAATTATGCATGCTTCAAACTCAACTGAGTGAAATTAGCAACTCTAAAGCTGATTTTGATGATGATGATAACTTACATTATGCTGCATATGCTGCATTATATGATCCAGGCAACTTAGGTGTTGGTAATGGGAATAATGATCATCATTGGGTATGAGAACTTAATAGAAATGATGACATTTTTTTTCCTATTCATTTTGTGTCTAGCCTACAATAGAAAATCCAGTTCAAGATTCCTTGCAATACCTGAGAAGAATTGTACAATGGATTACTTTTATTTACTTTTTTCCCCAAGAGGCAGTTAAACTTTCAAATAAGATAAGTCTTTAAGCAATTCTTTGACAATATGATTGACTTAGCTGAAGTACAAAAGAAATTGGTAGCTTCTGTTGCAATCAAGACACAAGAAAGTGACCCCCTTGGGCAAATTGTTCCTGAGAGAGAGAATTAATATCAGGATTGTTGGATTTCAATTAAACAGATTTAAATCACAATTGTTTGCTTATAATTTTGTGGATGAAAGAAAGTATAAGACATACTGAATCAAATATTTATTTCTAATCAATTGAATAAAAATTCTCATAACTGCAATAACTTGTTTTGTGATAAAATAAAATCTTTGAATTATTTAAGTGACCAATGTCTTTTGGCTCGAAGAATATTTGCCTCAATTTGATATGTTTGCGACAAGGTCCAGATTTTCTCAGTGGGAATTTTTCACATTCCTCTTGACAGTAATTCCAAAGTTCTTGGTGACTGTATGATTTTTATTGGAGCATTTGTTTCTTCAGTTCCCACCATAATGGTTTAATTATATTGAGATCAGAATTTTGTGCTAGCCAGTCTATCAAAAGTTGAACATTTTTATCCGCAAGAAAACCTTTTTGTTGCATATGATGTGTGACAAGGAGCACTGTCACGCTGAAAATTTTCCCGTTTGTTTCCATCAACTTTTACCAATTTTCTTTTACCATCACTTTTGATGCAAGTTCATACCATTACATATCAACTACCAGTTTACTGCCTTTGTGGCATATCTTGCATTGTTTTTTTCCCTTACTGGTTTTCTTACATATTCTCTTGCATTAGAATGTAACTCTATTTTCATCACTAAAAATTAAATTTTTTCCACTTTCCAGTCCCCCCTGTTCTTTTGACCACTTCATTCTTCTGTGCCAATGTTTTTTGGCTATTGATATTTTGTTCTGCTGTACATTCATTCAAATTGTTTTTTCTCATAATACTCTGTGTACTGTATCAAGTGAAACCACATTGTTAAGACTGCATTCACTCCTCAGCTGTGGTTGTTAATTTTGGATTGCCTGTGAAGAAGAATCTTTCTTTTATCTTTCTTTTATTTATCTTATTTTTTATGGTCTTCTGGTTTTCTTTGAACTTAAAACTCTCCCAATAGTAGTAAATGCCTTTTGGATAGTTTGAACACTGTTTCTGGAAATTACCAGCTGCCTGGCTATTTCACATTGAGTCATCAAAATAAAAAACATCCACTCTTGAACTTTGAAAAGTAAATAAAGAAAGCAATTATTTTTTGTAAAGGCTCTGATATGCTATTGTACATACTAGAAATTGGTTGAATCATCATATCTTTTATAGTAGAGATTAACAAATTAGATTTTGTAATTAGTATTTGAAATTTACCTTTGAATTTTGCTATGTTTACTTTCTGCATAATAGAGTAGAGATGTTTGCTGATGCATTATCTGATGTAGAAATATGGAAAGAGTTTTGATGTACCTATTAAGCTAAAACCTGCTGAAAAGCATTTATAAATCAAATAAAGAACTGTATAATAATAATTTCCTTGATCATTTAGTCACAGAGTTTTTTTGTTTTTTTTTTTCAATTTACAGAAAACTGATTTAAACTAATTCCATAAACTTTAAGATATGCAACTTAAAAATTGGCTTTTAATTTTTGATTAAATATAAAATAAATTTACGTATAAAATTTTGGCAATGATTATGACATTTTTGTTCTATAAAAGCATGCATATACACCTAACTATACCTGAAGTACCACCATCAATACAAACTTAGATAATACTTGCACATCTTCAAATCAATAATAGGGATTATATTCATATTCAAATAGGAAAAAATTAGCAGTTTTCTTTGAATTGTTGTTTATGCTAATGACAAATTATTTATATAGCTGTACTGTCTGCATATGAAATCTTTGCCAGGTTGAGTACAAGGAAATGGACGAGCAATTAGCAAATCTGTCTGAAGAAGAATACGTCTCTGAAGAAGAAAAAGAAAAGAAAAATGAAAAGGAGAAGGAAAAGATGAAAGTAGAAGAGCCAGAAGTGGAAAGTGAGAATGATGACCCAACAGGTATTTATAAAATCTGACCCCTTTTTTGCTTTTTTCTTTAACTATTCAATGAATATTTCAATCCTAGGAATTTGATCATTCAGTGAATGTGGTGAGGAGTAGTATAATAAGGCTCTGCCTTATCACTGCTATAGAGGGATTGATTTTCTGTTTCAAATTTTCCTCAATTCTGTTTCAGGTTTTAGGGAATTACATTTCTTTTTCCATTTTCAGTTGTAAAGTGTCAGTCAGTCAAGAGCTGCCTTCCTACTGCTTTGTAGGGGTTTGCTTATATTGGCATCATTTACCCACTGCTAGAGCCTCACATGTGGGCAGGTTAGTTCAATATTGTTTTGGGCTACCGATGTTGTGTCAAAGAACGTCCCTGCATATAATATATCTGCTGTACTACTCTACATCAATATAGAATTTTTTTTTCTCTCCATTTTCAGTATAGAATTCTGTTTTTGCTTCATTATAATACTTAGTGAGAAAGTGTAACAATATATAAATGTTATTAAAACAAGAAAATAAAAGGAAAATGAGAAATTTTACTTACTGGAATATTCATCCATAAGATAAGAAGTCACTCCATCTTGATAGGCTTTAGGCTTTCATACCCCATACTTCAGCCCTTAATCTAACTTGATATGTCTCTGGTACAACCTTGAAATGGAATTCTATAATCCTAAATAAGAATTAAGTCAAAGTGGCAAAACCTTCAGAAAAGTAGCACCACAGGCTATGAAAAGAATTAAATATGAGGTGAGCATAAATAAAATCCAAAATATTTGAATATTCATTTGATGTTTCTTTCCATATTTCTTTCCATATTAGAGATATAAGAAAAAATAACTTTGTAAACTTTTTAGTCAAATAAAATTATAAGCTCAATGGAAAATATTGGAAGGTAGGGCCAATTATGATAGTATTGTCTCTTTTTGGATTCCAATTACCTTAACTAAACTTTGTGTGAAAGCAACCTATTTAATCTATTTTATGGTCACAAGTGTCACTTAGAATGTCGAAATGAGCAGCAAAGTTAAGGTAAACATTATTTAATCACTGTAAAAATATATTAAGTTCAAATATTTTTTTAAATAAAAATATCAAGTACTCAAACAGTTTGTCTTTTCACACCCCAAATTTAAGCCTGTAGACATAGTGATATAAATTAAAATTATTGATATACTATATGAAAAAAATAAAATCACATCAAACTGAGAAATCAACAAGGTTTAATATCTTTTCTCCAAATCTCCATTAAAGTAGAGCATCATAAGTTGTTTGGTATTTTCCTGAGTTAGAAATTTGTGTTCATCATTTATATATTGAGTATATGAACATTCAATCTGTACACTAGTAACAGGCATCCACATAACTTTAGTGGCGATCTGTGACAGAATGGGATGTCTGCTTATATTGGCACTCCAAGATGCTGGAATGCTGAAGGGATTTGCTAGGTCAACTTTGTAGTTTATATAAATTTGAAATTCTTCAAAGAGTTCAGGGGATGGATCTTGCAAATCTTTGATGGCTACAAAACTGTAAATGTCATGGCTAATTCATGGCCGCTGTCTAGGATTGAACAGATGAGCTGATTTGTAAAACTCATACACTGGATAAGTATCCAAATATTCGCCAACTTTGAAAGTGTTGTACTGAATACATCCTGCAAATTTGATGTAACCTTATTCCTCTCTATGCTTTCCAATTCAGACAGAAGATGGTCAGTTTCTAGACCAATTTTTGTTTTTGACTTACCACTATGAAGATAATGCTTTAAATCTTCTGTTAAGTTGTACATGCAAGTGGTAACTTGGTCTCGACTAAGCTTGTCAATGTTTTTTATTAAATGAGTGCAGTTCTCATTGATGAAATGCAGATTGATAAGTAAATTATGGTATGATACATGGTGCAGTTTACTATCATCAACTAATTCCAAAATTTAGTCTTTTGTCAAACTCTGGCTTTTTTCTTGTTTGACAAATTCTTCATAGATATTCATATATTGAACATATGAAAAGTGCTGAATTGAATTCTGTCTGGTTGCCACTGGAACAGTAGAGGGACTTCACTAGCTGCTTAAGCAAATAGGCTTCAAACCATTTCAGATATTGCTGTTTTTGTCCAGTTATTTTGAAAAAAAAAAGTGACTTAATTAAAGTATTGAGCTGGGAAACATCAAATTGTGGCAAGTGTGAGAATACCTAACTAACATGATGTAAAATGTGTGCTAAATACAAGACATGATTACTGTTAAACAAATATATTGGATAAAGCCTCCCTGTGTTGGTGTTTCGTTGTCAAGCTTTGTTTTTAGGGCAGCAAAATGATTAGCATACAATTTTGGTAGATATAGTTGCCTAATACATTTAGCATTATGAATAGCACCATCTTCTTTACAGTACTTTAACAGAAATGGTCTCCTCTTGTCAATTTTATTAATGAGTATGCCACACATTATGCACGTTTTTTAAAAAATTAATTATGAAATCATTTCTCATATCTTTAAAGTTGTTATAGTAGTAAGTAGCCTGTTTCATAGTGGGTTGTTTGTTAGAAGCCATTTTTGCCAAATGGTTGTAGACTTATGGTCCTTTATAGTGTCCACCCTCACAAAGTCAACACTGTGATGACAAAATTTGCAGAAAAACACATTGCCATCAGCATAAATGTCTGGAAATTGTTCCACTCTGGCTTATGCACAAATTTTAGAAACTGCAGTCATTTACCTTTGTTTCTTTTTTGGAGGAGAGGGTTCATCTTTTGAGGTTGTGGGTTGTTCGTATAAAGCAGCCTGTTGCTTCTCCATGTTAGTTTGTTTTTTTTTAAATCAATTTTATCAGTCCAGGCTTCCAGTTTTCCATACAAGTGAAATATATCTTTTTTAATAGATCTCTACAACCAAAATGTTGTGTTCATTTTTTTAACAGAGTAGCTAATAGGTATTTTTTAAAAAAATTGTTTTGGTTTTTTTGATAAGGTTTGTGCACATTTACTGTAACAAAATTAAATATTTAACTCAAACTCACAAACTGGATGTTGTAGTAAAACAAACTTCTTATTTTTCAAAGATTTTTTTTTCATACAGTACTTTAGTTTGTAGCTTTTTTTTTTCTTTTAGAACAAAAAATTATCTCACTTGAAATTCTCAAAAGAATAAAACTAATTTGTGTGTGTGCATGCAGGGTTGCCAGGCTGAAATAAGTAAAGGCAACAAATGATGTTTAATTAAAAAAAAAAAATTTTCAAAAAACAGAAAAGGTTCAGTTTTAACTTAATTCCCATAAATAAATTGTTGAAAAGCCATCTAGAGACAAAAAAGCTACATTATAACTGTGTGATAGGAAGAAGAAAGGATAAAACAAAAAGACAAATTTTTTTTGGAAAAAAAAAAAAGGAACCACCAAATTTTTAATTTTTTTTTTTTTTTTATTAAATGAAGTCAGCTTTATAAAATTTGGCTCCTAAATACTGTAAATTGTAGGGAGACAGTATTAAAACATTACCGACTATCCTTTGATGTCTGTTGGACAAGTGAGTTAGGCAAATCTGTTAGAAAGAAATTTCTATTTGAAGCAGGCCATTCTGTTTTTCTGTCTGTTTTTCCATTTTCATGGAAAATAAGACTCTCTACTGATGTGCAAAATACAGTTTCCATAACATAGCAGAGAATAGAATTATTAAAAAGGATTTCAAAATCTAACATATATATTTCTGTTCACGTTTTTTAATGCCTTTGATGCAAACATGTTTTGAACCTATAAAATCTTGGTTATGGGTGAATAGTAGGGTAAGTGATGTCCTTTAGTACTGCAATGTTGGGTTTGCGCACTGTTCTGGTAAAAAAAGAAATGACTTGTAATGGAAATTATAGCAATATTACTTGGTATGGTTTTGGCCCTCTGCTCTGCAAAGAATAAACACTTTCACTGATGTATATGACCATCCTTAAATTTTTTTAAATTTTTTTAACAAAAATTACATGTTTAAACAAATAGTCTTTTCAGTTTCTCCTGTCAAATGTAAAAAATCAAGATTTGATTTGTCACTCTAGAGAAAACAATTAATCAAAAAATACTTAAATGGATTCATTTTTGAGTAGATACTCCAAAATTTATTTATTTATTAAATAAAATGTTTTTAATCCACAAAAAATGGAATACCTAAGGTTTAAAATGAATTTTGTAAAAATGAAAAATCTTGAATGAAAAAGCTTTTATTTTAGTTTTAATTTTAAAGTTTGTCAAGAATAAAATTTAATATTTCCAATAATCAAAATTTTTCTGTATTTCAAAACCAATTTAAATTGACCTGGAAAGAGTTTTTTTTTTCAAAAAGCAATTAGTATTTTTTTTTATTTTTTTTTTCTTTTTTTTTTTTTTTTCATTGTAATGTAATTTTCTTTTTAAAAAAAAATCTTCCAAAAAATATATATTTTTTTCTGAAACTTTATTTGAGGAAAATTAGCTGATTTAAAGTATAAATTTACTGATTTGAAAAAAATATTATTTAATTTAAGTTTAAAAATATATTCAGAAATGCAATTTTTGACAAAAACAGTAGTTATTTTTTATTTTATGATGACAATTTTAATTTTTTTCTAAAAAAGAATTTTATTACGATTTCTTTTGCTTTTTTTTTTTATTTATATACTTGAGTAATATTAAAAAATTTAGGAAAATATTCTCTATAATCTAATGTTTTATTGAATTTTAGAAATGTTGAAAAATAAATTTACTATAGTTATTGCTCTTATTTTCTGATAAATGTTGTGTATGATCCTGTACTTAAAAAAATAGCACACCCATTTATATACACATTTTAAAAAAATCAAAAATTTTTTTAAAATATTGGTGTTTTATGATTATTATTAAGATTTTCCATATATGATTGTAAATATAAGTTTACTTATTAATAATATCATCTAAAATCTTGAAATTAATTTTAAATTTTAAAAGATTTAAAACTTAATAAAAATTTTTGAATTTAAAAAAAAAAAAAAAAATTCTTGTAAA